TTCAATTAATGAAAGCAACGTCACCAGCTTGTATTTCAAATCCTCCACCACGTGTTATCGTATGTTTATGCACGCTTCGATGAATAACTTGTTTTCTCTTTGTATGCCGATATGGTGGATTTTTTTTTTTTACCCGATGAAATATAGTAATAAAGAAGAGAGGGAAAGAAGGGAGCTCGAAGAAATATGTTTTGTATATTTGTTTCACACATAAATTCCACTTATTTAGGCTTATTGGCAAATGTCATGAGATATTTATTCGCTATAACGATTACTCGATTGATCCATCGATTGTACGAATTGCGTTTTATCTATTCTTTCCTTCATATTTAACGAAATTAATAATTTAGTCTTTTTTTGCAATTTTTTTTATATTTATTTCATGTTATATATTAATTTCATACTTGGCCTAAAAATTAACACCGTGTTTAAATTTAAACAATTGATTAAACGATAGAAAGAGAGCGAAAATGATTTCGCAAGATTGAACGGAATTAAATATCAAATCGATTGAATGTCGTGATTCATCCGTGATCTTAATGTAAAACACACGCGAAACATAGAGGGGAATATCAAGGAGAAACTTCCCTTCTTTCAAAATTACTCTCTTTGGACAAGTATCGCCGCCCACGTCATGAACCTATTTCAAGGAATCTGGGAAGAGCGATGGTTGGTACACTCAGCAAATCTCGTTTCACTCGCGAAAGTCAGGAATAATAACAATATTCGTCTGGCAAAGAGGAAAACTCATAATTTCTCGCGCAAACCAGCAACCAATTACGTTAAAAGATCCGGGAACTACGAGTTTCTCCTCCACTTTGAAGGAAGGCGAGCGAAATAAGAGAGGGGAGAGGAAGAAGAAGAAGGAGAAGAAGAGGAAGAAAAAGAAAGACGAAGGAATGAAAAAAAAAAGGTCGTTGGAAAGAAAACTCCGGGACGATAACTATAGACCAGCTTGGTCATTATGAATTATCTATGCACGAACTACGCCTGCGCTTCTACCGCGAGGAAAAGTGGATTCTCACTGACGAATCGACAGAATTGTGAATTTTTTCGATGTAGAATCGAGATATTTCTTTCCCCGAGATACGAATGTTTCGCAGGGTTATGAAAGTTGAAAGTGAATTTGATAGATAGGATGAGCTGAAAATTGGTTTGGCAAGGATTTTCCAGAGGCATGTGAGGGAGAAGCGAGATTAGGAAAGCTTTAAATGTAACAATTTTTATCCTTTGTCATTCTTTTTTCTTTTTTTTTTCCGTTTGGATAGAATATTTTTAGGGATGATGTGATGAAAAGTGAGGTTAGGAAGCTTTTACGCGTTGAAATTTTTTTTTTCCGTTTGGTTTTTAGAATTATGAAAAAGTGAAATTAGAAAGCTTTCAATGTAATAATTTTTCGTAATATTATTCTGTTTAATATATTTTTTTTTAAATTTAATTTTAATTCTAAAGCAAAGAAAGAAGGGGATATTTCTTAAAAAATACACTTTCTTTAAAAATTTCTCAAATTATCTTAATTATTAGAAATTTTCTTAATTAAAGAATGGAAATACTAAAAAAAAAAAAAAAAAAAAAATCGTTGTCAAACATATTTCAATATTAAAATAATAAAAATACTGGTAATTTGATGTAGATAGTACAATAAATTATTTATTTTTTTACTGATACCTATCTAATTGTTTTTAATGATTTGTTTTAAATTTATTTGTTATATCTTATATCAAAATTGTTAAAAGAAATCGATATGATAGATTTTTAAAATATATTTTTTTTTATTATAAAATAATATTGTTTTTACCGATTATTTTATAAGTTGGATGATATAATTAGATAATTATAATATATATACAAAGTTTTATACTGTAATGGAAGAAGAGATTAAAGTAAGAGTATTTTAATACCAGTTCCTTGTTGTTAACTTTGTAATTTAATAATTATTTTGTTATTATCTTTAGAACTTATCATATTATTATTTTCAAAGTTTACTTTAAAATATTATATTTCTATGTTTAGAATTTTTAGGATATATGTCCAGAATTTTGAAATTATTACATTAATATATGGAATTATATAGAATTTTTAAATAATCATATTATTATTTAAAATCTATTTCTAAAATTTTTTATTCAAATTAAATCTATTAAATCTTTAAATTATTAAATATTATTATTTTTAAAATTTTATAAAATATTATAATCTTTTTTTATACATAAGATTTCCAAATTATGCTACCACTATATAATAAATATCACCATTATATAATTAATATTAATAATATTAACAAAGTTCACGAATCGCGATTTTCAAAATTTCCTATAGTTTATGAATTATTGTATTATTATCCTTAAAATTTTTGAACTATCTTATTACGATTCGTGGAATTTGCAAACTTTCGTTATCCATTAACTTTATAAATTGCCGTACTAAAATTTTTAATAATATTTTACAGTTTCTGAACAATTTATTCTTATATTAAATTTACTTTAATTATTTTTAAAATTCCTCCAATTACCATATTTTTATGTTTAAAATAATATTTCTATTCTCAATCATAATAGTATCGTAGTAATCATTAATTTCTTCGATTACACGTTAATTTTGTTTTAATTTAATTTTATTTAATTTAATTTAATTTAATTTTGTTTTAATTAAATTTGTTTTAATCTAATAGCAGTTTGTATAGATTTTTTTAAGTTTTTAACTTTCAAAAATTCAAAATAATCATAACATCTTAAAACGATCATTATTGTCATTAGTTTAACAACTTTAGTTTAATAAATAAATTTCATTTTCGAAAGAAGAAAGCAAACGCATATTATACATTTGCATATAATATGAAATATATTATTTATATGATAAAACATTCGCATAAAATATTTGTTCGTATAACGAAAATAAGAAATTACTATTGTAATATCTTAATACAGAAACATGATCGTTCTGACGTTGGTCGGACCAATTTTTCGGCAAAGGAAAGGGTGACTCGATAAAAGCAGTTTCGTGGATAAAAACGAGTTTCGCTGACGAATCGACGGGTATAAAACGAGGCGGACGAGCCAACAAAGACGGGACATTTATCGAAAGTTGTTAACACGGGACAACCGGGACGAAATTACTTCGCCTCGTTCCCACCGTGAAAAGTTAAACGTCGATCCACTTGATTCTCGATATTCTATGAATCATGGAACGTAATATCTTTCTTCGATACTGCGGAAACACAATTGAATCGTGGATTTGAAAATTTAAATTTTTCGAAAATTGAAATCGGAAATTTGGTAATTTTTTTTTTAAACTTTGTGGAATGCTTGTTTCGAGAGAATTGTTGAACAATAAAATAAAGAAATGATATATGAATGTATAAATTAGTATTAAACATGTATTTTTTTTAAAGTGTTTTGTGAAAGTATAAGTAAAAACTTGAGTTGTTTAATAGGATTTATTTAAAAAAAATATATATTTTAATTTTTAGTGATTTATTAATGTAATTAAGAAATTATTAAAAATTTGTTAATAACATAGTATATTTTATTTTTGATAATGTATCAAGATTTTCAATTGTGGTTTATTAAGTGAAAATCTCTTGATTACGCGATATGTATTAATTTTTATAGAATGTTTTAAAAGATTATTAAATTAATAGCGATACAAGTGAGAAAAATCATCGTTAAATAATTTTAAAAGTGCTTTCGAGAAATTAAATTGGCATTGAAAATAAAAGCAAAAATTTGAGTTAATTACTGGGATTTATTGGAAAGAAAATATTTTATTTATATGATATGGAATTTTTTAGCATTTAAAGAATTAACTAACTAAATTAACTGATGATGCAGCTTTTTTTTGAAGATATAAATATGAAGGCAGTACATGGATTAATTAATAAAATTTATTAATTATATAAAAAAATATCTTTTAATTATTACAATATGAATTTTTAAAAATCTTTTAATTATGTATTTTGCAATAAATTTTTTAATATAATTAAAGGATTATTAAATTGATGATAAAAATTTTTTTTGAAAGTATAAACTTAAATTAATTAATGAGATTTATAGAAAAAAATAATCTTTTAATTATTATGCGAAAAGTTATAAAATATTTTAATAAATTTAAAATATTATTAAATTAATGAGGCAAGCCTTTTTGATTGGAAATTAATTAAAATTTTTGATTATAGGTCATATTTTAGAATTTTATAAAATTTTTTTATTTAAGAAAAATTTATACTATAACAAAAATAATATTTTTTTGATACTTTTATTGTATTTTATCATTATTATGAAAATTGAAACATACAAATACGATAAAATATATTATAGATTTGTATGCAGAAATAATATATGTGCGGTATAATTTAATTTAGTATTTATACAATTATATCTTTAAAATTGGATAATTTAACATCATATCATCTTTTGTACTCAAATAGTTAATCAATAATAAAAGTGATAATATTCCATTAATTATACAATCAATTATTAAATTCCAATTACCCAAATCCAAGGATTAAATATAAACATAATCCTTCATCCCACCAAATCTAATTCATCTATATATCTTTTCCATTCATCGAAGAATAGCGTGCAATCCATCTCAATCATGTGACTAACCTTCTATACTATATCAAAAATCTATCTTTGCTTTCAATTTTCATTCTTCAAAGAAATAAAACCATATTTTGCTCTAAGTGTTTCAATTATCTAAACCCAAAAATCAAATATAAAAATAAGTAATAAATCTAATTCATAATTTGCCTTTATCTTTGTACATCAATCACATGTATTAAAACCCTATCTTTCCTTTTAATTTTTATTTTTCAAAAAAAGTGATGCAATACGATAAAAATCGTCTGGATAAGATGCACGAGGCAACATGTTCGTGCGTGCTAGTGTGGAGTGGTTGATGATAGTGGTGGTGGTTGCCGGTGTGGCGGCGGTGCATCGATTCGAAAACGTTCGAAAAACTTTTCTTCGAGAACTTCTACCGCGTAACTTACTACTTACCTTGGCAGCGATCGCCCGGACAGTCCTCAACTTCCCACAGTCGTTTCGCCGGGCATATCGGCTCGTCGACGCGGAACAAACTTTTCCCAGTTGCTTCTCGAATCGCTCGAGTCCAACCGTTACCGTAAATTATTCTTCGTTTTCCTTACTAGTCAGCGATCTTGCGAAAAGTCGAATCAGGACCTTTTATTATCCGTCTCTTCCGTCCTTCCTTTGTCTTTGGACGGAAATCTTTGCAGAATTCGGAATTATTTGAAAAATTTTCTTCTCAGAGAGCAGAACATCTCGTTTCTAAATATGAAAAAATCTCTCGTTTTTCGTTTCTCATCTATGTTTTTCGCGATATTCGGATCTTCTCGTTCTCTTCGATACACGGTCGATCAACAGTCTGCCTCGCGACGACTTCGCCCTTTGCCACCTCCTCTCAGATGCGATCGAGGAGCCCAGAGCCTGTTTGTCGTTTACATTGATCCACGAGCGCGACCCTGTCATCTGTTACTCATCTCGCGACGTCAAGCGGTTGATTCAATTGGAGAGATCCATTCCCAAACAATCATCTACTTCACCAAACTTGTATTTTTCGTTGGTATACGCGAGCCACACTGTAAAAGATGCGAAATCTCTTGAAGAATCATTTCCGTGTGCCCGTGCAAATGGGGAGAGCCAGGGAGAGACGGGGAGATCCGGGGAGAGCCAAGGGAGATCCAATGTAGTTTCCTCGTTAAAAAACTGGTTTCAGAAGCTTGCCACGTTGTTGCACGCTGCTCGCAGCATCCTCTGCCAATGATGGTCGCGTGTTCGACTCATGATGACTTTTATCAAAAATTATTCTCGTGTTTTCGCGAAGAAAATTGGACGATCAGTTGAATCCAATCGGTTGATCTTATCGCGAACCCGATATCAACGCGATTCTATAGATCGAATGGAATTGTTTCGCTACGACTGAACGAGGAACGGCGTTCGTCGAGTGCCGTGAAAACTGTCTGCCGTCCATGAACAGCGTTGCCGGCACGGACGCACCCCGTAGAAGGGTGCACAACGCGCAAACGTAGTCGAAATGGGGTATCGTGCGTCGGCGCAGCCTCGTGCGGTCCGTTCGCCGCATGAAGGAACGCCGCAGCCCCGTTCCAACTTACCTCTCCTGCCACTTCCACCCCTCTAATATCATCCCCACTATCATCACGCCACGATTCCTCCGGATAGATTGTCTTCTGCGGGCAATGGGTCGTCGAAGGCCGAGGCCACGAGTCTTGGTTCTTCCGTTTAAGGGTTTTTGGAGGTTAGGTTCAGGTTTCAGCGATTGTGTGTCGTGTGGAGATTTTAATAGGTGAAATTCGCTAAGAGTTTTTGGTAATAAAGTTTATCAATTGTTATAATAATAATAATAATAATGTTGTTATTCTTACTTTTATTCGGAGATATTTTAATAACGAATTGTTTTCGATTTCAGATTTAATCTTTTTAAAAAATTTGGTATCTTTTTAAAAAATTAAGATCATTATTATTGTTCATATTTGTTTAGAACTTGAAAAGAAATTTCATGTATGTGTTTTTAATTTATTTAATTAGCAAAATATAATAGTAAATATTCTATAAGGAAAACATTCATGTTTCCAAAAAATTTGCATACTCAGCAATAATTTATCCGCCAACTCTTTACTCTTTACTTTTCTAGCAACTAATTGATCATGATCCGCACGGAATTCAAAGTTTCAAAGTGTAAAGTTCTAACGAAGATCCAAATTAGATTTGTGAAAGGAACTTTAGTAAGCGTCGAAAAGTCTATAAAAAAAAGAATATCGAAAATAATTGATCTTATTAGCATAAACTTGCGTTCCTTGATAACTCTTTAAGAAGTGTTCTCTACATTTTTCACTTATTTCCTCATTTAAGTTCACATTCTCAAATATTATTTTATTTTATTTTATTATAAATTATAAATTACTTATTATCTTTCTTATTAAATTTCGTATATCAACGATCGATCGTGACAAATATCTTATTTACCCCGTTAAAAGACAAAGAGATAATAACAAAATCGATGACAATCGCTGGTATATTAAACTGGAGGAAGAGAGTTGAAGAGTTAATTGTTGAAAAAGTCGGGCGAACGAAAAAAGTTTCCGCCGAAATATAACGTCCTGTAATACAAGGTAATTCTCTATTTCCTTCTTTTTCTCTCCGTCCCAAGTGTCTATATGGTATTTTTTTCCTTTTCTCTCTTTTTTTTATTTTTTTTTCTTCTCAACGAAGCCAGGCGTTGGAATTTCAAAGAACTCGTCTTTGTACCTTCGACGATTGTGGTCCCTTTATTTTCTACCCCTTTCATGCTCTCCACCCTTTCAAATTTTTTTCCGGAGGGGAATGGGAAGAGGGGAAAAGAGAAAGATAGAAGAAAGGAAAACGAAAATCACCTTTTCCGTTCCCTGTTTGCGTAACAGACGTCGCGTCAATCTTCCCGATAGAATCATAATTTTCGCGCCGCATCTCTCTTCACTGGCAAAATGGCAAATTCCTTTCATTCAACAACTATGAATTTCAACAATTCCAATCACTTTTACGATTCTACTTGTGAAATTCCATTTCGGCCTATTCTTTTCTCCAATTTTTTTTCGAACGACATACATTGTTTTTCTATCATAAATTGAAAGCTTCTTGAAGGAAACACTAAGTGCAAATTTTTCAGGAGAAATAAGAGACTTGCCTGACTTTAAGTTATTTACAAAATTTGATTTTTTTTTTTGATTATAAAATATTTTTTATATTATAGAAATTCAAGAAGAAATTGTATCTGTAATGTAAATCTTGTATGTGTCTTTTAATTGTTGGATTTAATGTTTCTAAAGAGATATCTTGGATTTAATGTTTCTAAAGAGATGTTCAGAAAAATGAAACATTCTTGTTCGATAAGTAGCCTAAGACTTTTTACTTTTTATCACTCGTTCATTAAGCCTTTCGAATATTATATGGATATACGTACTTATGTGTACAGCGATAGTAGAATATCCTCTTGAAACGGTGGACCGCTTTCTCTGAAAGCTTATGCTTATTTTCCTCGGTAGAGTTACTATATGCTCGTCCTAAAGATGCACTAATACCTAATTCCTTCGAAGAAGAGTTTCGTAGTTGGCGTTAAAGCGACTCCACCCGGGGCTATGTCTCCTCCAAAGCAGGCTTTAATAGCCGAAAAAGACGACGTTGTCTAACGAAAGTTCGCGATATTCGCTGATTCGTCTGCAATTCTCGAGACATCGTTTCAAAATCTTTTTTTTTTTTCTTTTTCTTCCTCCTTAGGAAAGTTTATTCGAATCGAGAGTTCCACTGACCACTTTCTTGGTACTTAACCTCTTAAAAGTTCGTTAAATTTGATGAAAGTATGTTAAAAAAAGAAAAAAAAAAATACTTTTCTTCTCAAGAAATTATATTTCGGTTAACCGATCTTTATCTTATCTTTTTATTAAATTTATGGGTTTATAAATTTTAAAATATTTTTAATGTATTATTTTTTTTCGATATAATGCTTCTTATTTTTAATTATCTATTATCTTTTTTATCTTCTTGCTTAGTTATATTAAAACACGAGATACAATATTACAATGTTATAAAAGTAGATACCTTTAAACTAGAAAAAAACATTCGATCGTTAAAATTGACAAAGTATAATATTATAATTTTAAATAAATTCCAATGAAATATTAGTTATCCGTCATTAGCAATCTAATTCGATAAAGCAGCAGTTATAAGAAAATTTCTGCTGATGATGGATATTTCATCGTTCGAAGGAAATGAAAGCGATGTGTTTGAAAGCGTAAACGAGAGTCTAACCTCGATCTTTCGGCGCGCTAAATTCCCTCCGATCGATCGTTTTCACGCCTCCATTATATTTCCTCTCGAAAGAAGACTTCATTTTTCACCCTATCTATCTACTTTTTTGCCCGTCCTTTATCTATTCCGCGAGTCGTACCAGACGGAAACAACTTCTCTCTCCGTTTGACAACCACCATCAACCGGAAGACGGTGGCATTTTTTCGAAAATACCGCGCGCATCTATCGCATTTATCACGTGGCAGGGATTTCCGCCGATTTTCTTATCGGCGAGATTAAAGCATAAACCAAATTACAGGGAATGGTCTGTTGAGACAGTCATCGTCACTCTCTCGTAAGCTCGATTCAGGTCGTGAATTGACCTTAATTGTGCGAAAACAGAATTTTACAAAAATCTTGTTTTCTTTTCATTTAATTCGATTCGATTACTTTTTCTGACTTTGAGTTTTTTTACACTTTTTACATGATTTTTTGTCGTCTTAAATGTTTAAAGACATTTATCAGTGCTTCTCGATAAGTGAAAAATTAAGAAAGAATAAAGAAGTAAATCATTATAAATTGTATTTTTATATCTTCTTTTCTTTTTTTTATAAAATTTTTAAAAAATGATACGTCAAATAATTTTCATTATAAAGTTGTTTAAATTACGTTTCTCGATATTTATAATATTATAAGATTAATATATTAAAAAATTAATATTTATCCCTATTATTGAAATTGTCAAGAACTTCTTTAATCTTTCCCCATTTTCCAAATCGCGAGATTTCCAGTATTCCAGTATTTTTAAAAATATATCCGACATCTTTCTCTTTAAATTTCGTTCGGGCACCGCGTTATCCACGAAAAGCAATCCCAAACCAGAATTGGTTCTGACGTAAGGATGGATCATGAATAAAATGAGGAGGAATTCGACTTACCGGATGTTGCAGAAGCGCAGAACGTGGCTGAGGCTCGTTATGGTCACCTGTCGCATCGGAATATATATTTAACGGTACGCACGAATGCGCGCACCTTTGCGATCACTTCCTCTTGCATCAGGTTGAAGCACATCGCGATCAACGCCATACCTAAAAGTTATCCCTATGATATTAATATAGGAACGAATAATAAAATTACGAGTACAATAATTTTAACGCTTCACTCGTATTAGAAAGGTAAAAATTAGCTTCTAAGAAATTCGAAAATTAATACGATTTCTTTATCCTCTATAAAAGTCAATCATCAATGTGTCGATCAATTATAATATCCAATTGAAAATTTCATTTGTATTGAACAATCGTCAAACTTGATTCAGTTTGAAAGCGAAACTTAAAAACGTTTATTCTCTTCTTTTGACTTATTTTGGTTTGCTAGTTTTTTATAAAATTAAAACCCGGCCACTTATCGCACAATTTATTAGAAGAAACATCTCGATATTCGTGATACACTCATTCGACAACACTAGAATGTTATAAAATGGCCGTCAATTCTACGCTACTAAAAGCGCCGTTTCAAAGGATTCGAGGCATCGTCGCATAAACGTCAATCGAAAAAAATCGAATTTCCCTTCCCTCTCGACCACGATACGAGGTAAACCTCGACAGGTGAAGAGAGAGAGAAAGATACTGGACCGGTTGTCAAACTTTTGTCTCGACACGTACAAAGTGGCGCACGGTTAAAAAGCGATCGATCCTCCTGACCCTTGACACGCTTCGCGACACTTTGGAATCCCCGATTCATTAACCACGGCGGAAGTGCGCACCACGCTCGTGTTATCATTCCAAGAACTGAGGAATTTTATAGAAACTGGAGATAAAATAAAAATAATTTTAAAAATTTTTGAGAAAGTTTAATACTCAAACATCTTGAGAATTTTTATTTTTATTTATTATTATTTTTTTTTAATAAGAAATTTTAAGTAATTGTAACGTGGAAAGTTGAATTTTGAAATTAAAGAAATTTTTTTTTTGATATGTTTTGAATTCGTGTGAGTTTCAATTGAAAATATGTAACTGAACAATGTCGAAATTTTACTTCTCTTCATTTTATAGTTGAAAACTTTTTCCATTAGAAATTTTTATATAAATAATTGAGAATTCTCGATAATTTTGTCCGATCGAATAATTCGAATTAAAAAAAAATTGAAATTGTAACCAGGAATTTCTCATTGCTAATTTTTATTACAATTTCTTCATAAAACACTTTTTTTTATGTCTAATTATCTTTTACTTTCATCATGTATTTGTAACTTAGAAAAATTAAAAAAAAAATCATAAATTCTTCTAATTTCTAGGATCGAAATTAAAGAATCCACTCTTAATTCTCAGATAAATTTTAGAATAACTTTAGATTTTTTCAAAATATTATTCGATATATAGAATATATCAAATTTACACGGTATCACAAAATACACGCGTATAGAAATTTAATCGTTGAATAGTTATTGTTTGAAGTGGATATTTCGTACAGTTGGACGAATTAAAGCTGTCGAGCTCTTTGAAAACGATCAAGTCTGGCCACGCAACATCACGTGTTCCATCGGAAATCCACGGCGATTCAATTGTCGCTCTGCCAAAGAAACAATTACGATCTCGGTTTCCGTGTTCGTCCACTGAACACTCGGCTCGTACACGTGTATCCGTGTTTCGTGCATCGATAAATTTTGATCTTCACCGATTTTTTTATTTCATTCCTTTCTTTCTTTTTCCACCAAGTTTTTACTTTTAATGTGATTAAAAGAACAGGATATAAATAAAGATTACTCTTCAAACATCATAATATTTGTGAATATTTTGTGCTTCTTTGCACAAAATATCGTACGTACTTTTATAAATTTTTGTATTATTTGAATTTTGTATAAGGTCGCTGTATTCGCAGTCTATAATAAATAAACGATAAATTAATTAAAAAACAAATAGTTAATCGATAAATAAATAATTACTCGATTGATTTGTCGATTGAAAATTTGATTAAACAAAAAGGATTCTTCAATTTAATTGTGAATCCTTTTCATAGAACTACTCGAATCATTTTCATAGAACTGTGACTTAACACTGATTAATTCTGTATATCTCTTAATATATATATATATTATAGATCCTAAATTATCCTAATTTCCTAAATTATCACGAATTAATATGAAACAGAATAGAAATTTACGGGATGAAATAAAATTAATCAACGAGTTTTAACAACGGTACAAACGGAAAACAAATGGCAAATTGTTAGAAGCATTCCATGGTCATAAAATCATGAAAAAAAAAAGTAAATAAAAAAAGGATAGCGCATCTAATGAAATACGAACAGAAATATGAATGTTGTAAATAAAAATAGAAATTATATATCCGGAGAATAAAAGGATCGGTGAAAAAGAAAATGAAAAGCGATAAAAATCATTACGATCTATCAATCACGGAATCGCATCGAGAAATCAGAGACCAATTTCTATTTTCAACGTGATCGAGTCTGACACAATGATAAATCATGGGAACAACGAGGGCACTGTCGGAATCGTGGATCCGAAATTCGATGACCGGTCGTAACCCGTTTATTTATAGAGAATAGGAAAATAGAAACACGATTTCTTCGAGGTTTGGGACTTCGTTCGTTGTCGCATTTAAAATTTTCCACGATATAATCACGAATTATTAACTCCAGTCAAGATTTTCGCGATACGACGGTTTAACCATCTTTCATCTAATATTCGTATGCAAGGTTTCGTACGAGATACCCTCGACGCGTGTTAAGGATCCATGCACGTGGGGTTGGGATGCTTTAAATGGTGGGAGAAGGGGAGTGATTCTTTCATAGGGGAAAAATAGGTCGAATGCGTGGAGCAGAATTTTTGCGGATAAGGCCTTATTTTCGAGAACGATTATTTTTTTTGGGAAGGGTGGAAATTTAATTATTTATTTTGAAAATTTTAGGGGAAAGAAAGATTATCTCGAGGATTATTTTTGATATTTAAAAAAAATTTTAAATGCGAGGGGTGTTGTTAAGGGCTCGCGTGGAGAAAATAGCCTGTTGTGGATGATGCGCAAGAGTGGTTCGCTTTAAGTGGTAGAAAAAGGGGTGATTCTTCGTGAGAAAATAGGTCGGATGTGTGGAATGGAATTTTTGCTCATGAGGCCTTACTTCTGAGAGAAATTACTTCTTATATCGAAAATTTTAATTTTTTTTTTTTAGAGGAGGCAAAAAAATTTTAATATTCGCAAAATTAGAAACATAATATTGTTCTTAATTACTTGTGCGATACGAAAATATGAAATGAAATGAAATTTTTACGGATAAATAATTAAAAAAAAAAAAAAAGAAAAATTACTTTGTAAACTTAACGAGTACATTTCATTAAAAATCAAAGAGAGAGAAAAAAGAAACGAAAGTCGAAAAATGGATCTCTGTAGGGAATTTTAGGGAAACATTAAACGTCAAATCCGATAAAAATGTAAGATCGGTCGCCACTCACCAAGCATTAGATACATGGAGCAGAAGATGAAGGATAAATCGAGACCCTGGGCCGCGTAGATTTTGTCACCTGGCACGATGTCGCCGAAACCTATGGTCGACAAGGAGACGAAGCAGAAATAAGAACCGTCCAACATATTCCAGTCTTCCCATTCGGAGAATAAAATGGCTCCGCCCCAAATATACCTGAAACATTTCTCGAAGAAATGACACGGTCATTCCTGATACGCGAGATTCTCCTTATTTCAAATTGATAAATAAAAAGGTTACGAGATTATCTTTTATTTATTAATCTTTTTTTTTTGTGACATAGAAACGTCTATTTCTATTGAAATAGCATTTATAATTTTAATTAAAAAATATCAATCACGGATAAAAATTACAATTAAAAGTCCATTGTGTGAAAACGACAATGAAATTTTCTTTTTAAAGAGTATTAAAAATAACGTGAAATGAAAGTTTCAAAAATAAATTGTTCTCCAGATTTGTAATTTGATCTATATTTAAAAATAACAGTTAAAAATAATAAATGTTTTATTCACGATTTCTATATTCAATTTTCCTTATGATAAATTTTCTTCTCTGTGGAAATGAATTTTCATTTCCAATACTGTTGATTGTTTATTTTTAAGTAAAAGAAAAAAAAACAAGAAATAAACTTTCGTTTCATTGGATGATATTTCCGTGTAAAAACTTAAGAAACATTATATAATATGTTAAATATAAAGAGTGACTTCGCGTATCGATCCTCGCTGTATTTAAATTATTTCTGATAATTCGACGATAAAACACGATTTATCGGTTTTCGAACAAAAGTTCATTAATTTCGAATTTATTATATTTTATACATATATATGTATAACCATAGAATCATAATTCATATACTTGAATTATTTCATGATCGAATGATCGAAATTATTATGAATAAAATACTAATGAATTTATGTTTCTACACGTGAATGTTTCTCGTGAACAAGAATAAAATAAATTATAATGTAAATAAAAAAGAAAATAAAAATATTTTCATCGAAAAATATAATTTTCATATTTTTAATCTCTATTATATATAATTTTTATATGGAATATTTTTCGGTAAAAAATTATAACAACTTGTATATTTGACTCTTTATATTTTAAAATTTAATCTAAATTTTAAAAGATGTATAAAAATCTATGAAGACTTTATAGAACATGTAATAACGTGAGAGATTTTTATATTTCAAAGTATATACATAATGTATCATATAATTATAATTTAATAGAAAATAATGACACTCACCCGACCATTATGGCAACGCAGAGCGTCAAAGGAACTGTGACACGTTGTGGATCATAACTACTCTCGTCATCTTCTTTCGATTCATCACTCTCTATCGAAACTTCCTTATCTACACTAATCGAGTCAATCTCCTTTCCATGCATGTCAACCATCTATTGACAAAAACTTCGTAATTTATCGTAAAATTTTATAATGAAAAATGCAACTTGTATAATAATTTTTAAATTAATTTTTTGAATATTTTAATAACTATTCTTTATTCTGGAATTCGAGTTCAGAAAACATATATACTGACAACATATAAATTATATAACAAACATATATATTTATTTTAGATAATTAAATTATTTGAAGTTATAATTATTTTAAAATTTTTTATGATACAGGAAATACTTTTTTTTCAGAATAACTATAAATCTTTTGGTAAAGAGGAAAACATCTTGTAATAGATTATAAATTAACTTTAATGAAATTTTAAAAAAACTTACTTGCCAATGATTTGTCCTTATATCTGCACCATTTTGCAAACTTCCTCTTGGTGCCATTTCTATTGGTCTTCTGCGACACCTTTAAAAGAAAAAAAATTAATTATTATTACATGTATAATTATAAAAAATAATAAGATTATTCAAAATGTAAAAAAAAAAAGAATTTCTATCTCGAATTTCTTTTATTAATTGTTAGATACTATAAAAACAATAGTTTAAATAATTCGAGGTCTAAACATTTCTGTAACGATCTATGACAAATAGAAATGGGCAAAATAAGAAGAAGCTTACTTGCACAGACAGCAGCGAGCATAGGTCCATTTGAAGCTTTTCGCGAGAATGTCACCAATGTTGCTTAGATAGAGCAAGAAAAGTGGCAGGCCTATTATGGCATATACTATGGTCACCACTTTGCCCCATTTCGTCTTTGGACAAATGTTCCCGTAACCTGTGAACCGAATCAGTTCCCATTTTCTTCATTTTTTCCTCTCTACAATATCTATAGTGAATTTTTTTTTCATTTTTTAAAAATAATAAATTCGCTTTCCGTAAAAATATTTAAATAACAAATGAGATGAACGTTAAAATCATTTTTTTTTTAATATTTAATATTTATAAATAGGATAATTCAGGAAATATTTATACCATCAAACGATTTTTTTTACAAACAAGAATTTTATCATCAAGAAGATACTCCTTTTCTACAAAATAAATTTTCTCTCATCCGTAATCGTGAAAAATTCGTTGTCATTGTCACCGATTTATAATAATAATAACAAAAAAAATTCAACTTCAAAGCGCTAATCTTTCTAGAAGAAGATCCTATTCCTAAAATCAAAAACGAATAATAATAATAAAAAAAAAAGAGATTCAATTCATGTGAAAACAAACTTTCTCTCATCCACAGCTCCGAAAAATTTTTCTACCATCGTCATCCCCGTCAAGCATTTTAATTAAAATCCCCCTGCATCAGCGGTCATCAGTCACCGCGGTAAAGTTGAACGACTATGAAAAGAAAGGAATGCTTGATCGAGCATGTTCTCGCATTATCTGTCTATCTTATTACTTAATCAACTATAAGTTTACACCGACCGTTCGACACCCGCTGCGTATCGCATAAAAAGATCGGCAAAAGGGAGAAGGAAAATTCATCGATTCGGTTGAAAAGTTGGAAACGATATTGTCCGAGATATTATTCGATCGAGTTTTTTTTTTTTNTTTTTTTTTTTTCTTTTTTTCTCCAAGAGTAACTGCACGACCGTTCCGGGAGTGTTGTTCCATCGAATTATGGATCGTATTCGAGGGATTACGAAAGTGGAAAGGAGCGTGAATATCGAGGACCGGCTGTTAAAATTGTTTACCGCCCTTTCTCGCGCCGGGTTTCGCCGACTGCCGGATTTCTGCTTCCGCTTTTCAAACTTGCTCGAATAACTCATTCTTCGTGGAACAATAGTCTCGAAGAGGCTGAATTTTTCTGGTGAACGCTGTTAAGTTTTTGTTCCCTATTTTTTGTAAATCTGTATATAACTCGAGTTAAGATGAGAATAATAAAAATGAGATTTAGGAAACTAATATATCTATATCTATTAAAATAATCGAGAAACGACTAGTTCGTTCGTTAATTGATTTTATATATATAGGATATGTACTGATAAAAAAAAAATGCAAAAAAAAAAAAAGAAAAAGTAGTTGGTTCTACAAGATACGAAAAAATACTTTTTCGAAAAAATCGTTTGAATTTAAATCAGCGGTCCAAGCCCGGATATCGGAAACTCAAAGCCTCTGATAGCTCGTACGATGTTAAACAAATCATCGTGCCGTGAATTGTCGATAAATTATAATAAAGCGGCTCGGAACATAAATAATCCAGAGGCCTGGAAATTCCGGCTTTATTGGCCTTTCCTGCGCTTTCGATATTTCCATGTTTTCCATTTCTACGCACACGTTTCGCACTAATATGATGTACTAAACGACAGAAAGATAAAAAAAAAGAAGAAGAAAAAACAAGGAAAGGAAAAGGGAATGGAGAGAAAATCGTGAAATAGAAAAAAAAGGGAGAAAAAAGAAATGGAATATAAAAAAAAAAGGAAAAAAATAACGCGGCGAAATATATTCTATCGAAGCTTTGTTAATAGAGGCAATCCAATGGTAATTGAAAAAAATTTAAAGGAACAACAAAGGAAGAAAGAATGGAAACTGTCGACAACGCATCACTTATTCAGTGTTCGCCGATTTTTAAATCGTACACTCGCACCGCCGAGCTTTCCGCCTGTTCTTCTTGTCGTTCATTTTTATTTTTTTTTCGATTTCGGATGGATTCTTTCATCTCATAAAACAAGGATATTTAATACTTATGGATGTGACACGATTTCAGCCATTTTTATTATTATTATTCATCGATTCAATTTTATGGCGATCGCTATGTCGGTTTTCACAGGTTCCCAAAAGTTTCTTGATAAAGATCGTAAAGAAATCATATTTCTTTTTTATTGGGAAGTACGATACTCTCTGGAAAGTATGAGTATTCTTTTGTAAAATATTTAAAGTTTTTACATTTGGAGAGGTTAATGATTTTGTTCGTATTATTTCTGCTTGGTTTGTAGGTTAGGTTCGATTTATTACAATTTACAAACGAGAGTAAACAAATAAATAATAGGAACGTAATATGTACTCGTTTCTGATATTTTTATGCTTATAAACATTCGAAGTAATTAATTTTCAAATTAATTTAAACACCACACACTCGTGATCAATAGGATTGAAAGGGGGGAATGAACACGGAAGATCGGTTTCTCGTTATGCATGCATGAACGAGAATCAAGAGAACGCGAAAGTTCACGTGAATTATTAATAAATTGCTAGGCAAATAAAGTGGTCCGTCCACGAATTATCGGGGATACCGCTATTAATCTAGATAATTGATTGGTCGGTCCACAGCGAAATTATCAGTTCGTAGTGTAACGATCTCGTGTCCCATCGGCCTACCAAGACACATCGGTTCCAGGTATTTTCCGTTAATCGCCAATAATTCCTTGGCGTCGCGTTACACCGCCACTAATGTCCCCGATCCGTCAATGATCGCCACGCCACGTTGATTACGCGGATCTTCGATGATTTATGTGTTTCGTATCGGCTCACGATACTTCCGACTATCTCTTTGCGACACGATCCCCTAATTCGAATTTCATTTTTGATTAATGGAATTCATCTCGGGATGCGCGAGAGAACGAATTCTATTTCTTGCGAGGAGAAAGGGGATCAATTATATCGCCCAATTATGCGTTTATTAAATATTTTATTGATCGATTATATGTGTATTCTTATGCGAAACTTATCAAAATGTATCAAGTATTCGATTATAATTGAACCATTCAATAATTTCATGTTTTATATTTAAAATTTTCTAAATATTTAATTATTTAGATTATTTAATTATTCAGATATTCGATCTCTAAATTATTCGTAAGTTCAACTTCTCCAATATAATATAATATTCTCACATAATCCAATTTTAAATACGTGAGCATCCAAGTTCAATTATCCATCTATTCGTCAAATAATATTAATAGTCAATCATTCCTATAATAAAATACCTGATACTCCTAAAATCATAAGATATTCCACACTTTGAAATAACAACAAATTCTCCTAGATTCTTCCTGAACATTTCCAAAATCAAGAAGAAAATTAAAATCCTATTATAATTTCCTTAAGAGATAATAACAATTTCGAGCATCACTATCCATAGTCTTATTCCTCAAACTATTATCACCAATCCTTACACCAATCCTTTCCTTCCCCTTCAACGCCCAAATTCGCGCGGCTCCAAATTTTCTCGCGTCCCAAAAGCGGTTACCATTAGCCAAGCTACGGTCGGCTCGCGAATCGATCTGCCTGTCGACTAGTCGACCCTTTTAGGCTGATGCTGCTGGCCTGTAATCACGGTTGAGATAAAGTGGATAGCAGGGGGTGTCTCGTCTCGAATCCAGAAGAGGGTGATAGCACATGGGAGGGAGGGAGCCCCGGAATTAATTAAAAGGTGGCGCGCGCCCGCGCGCTCGCCTACACCTGCATTCCTCTATCCGTGCTAAAAATTCGCATAGTTAATTCCCTCTATCCACCAACGACCCTCGATTTACTTTGTCTAAAAAAAGAAATATCACGGATGACGTGATACGCGTGCAAAAAGAAGCGAAGGTGGCCGATTACGACGATCTTTCAACGTACAATTTTTCTCCACGAAATAAACCATATAACTATTTCTACTACTATTAATGAGGATGAAATGGCTAAAGAGATTTTAACGTCTAGATAGATTTTATGTTTTACAAGAATATGTATAAAGAAAGGAGAAGTCGAATGAGTCGTTTATAAATTAGAAATCGTATATCAAGAGAAAAAAATATTTTTTTATTGAATAAATTAGATCTATTGAATCTTTAAAATTTGTGTCTTTTTATATCGAAATTTGAAGAAACAATTAATTTTTCAAGAAAATTTTCTACGAAATTTAACATATAAATTACGTGAAAACAACGTGTTACGGATTTATCCCATAAATTGTAAATCTAGGGATCCCTAGCGATACTGTACGAGTTTGCACAGGTTTCTTCTATCATCCACCAGAATTTTTCCGCTCAAGAATGATTTATACGTTGGATAAAGGCGCGTTCGTTATCGATATCGCTGTTTCTTTCGATTTCGATCTCTCTGTCCCACTTTCCTATACGATACACGGAATTTATTACGTTTTTGCTATTCCAGCCCCATTTCCATCGTCCACGTTTCATCTTGCTTAGCTTGCGGAAACGTACAGACAGCTTATTAGAGGTTCCAGTGATTTAAGATCGCGTCGTATCGGTTCTGGATGTTGTTTATATGTCGAATGGTGAGAGGATCATCGGAATTTGAGATTGTTCCAAGGTTTTTGCTCGTGGATTTTCGAACGTATCGGACAAGCTGTCGTTGGGTCGGCCTAAACACGTCCTTCGGAAACGCGGTCAACGATGAATCGGAAATTAATTGACTCATATTGGAGGCAAGATCATCGAAGGCCGAACGAAGAGTCGATTTCCGTCACATAGGCGGAAAGATCGTTTTATTGCCTAAATATTCCTCTAACATCTAAATTTAAATATCGTTTGGAGAAAAAATGAAAAATGAAGACATCTTGTCGGAGTAAGAATCTTTCTCTCAAAATAATATTTCGGAAGGGAAGATATTTCGGAAGGGAAGATATTTCTTTTCAGAAAAATAAAAATTCTTTTCGAAAAGTCTCTCTTCCATTCTTGTCGCAAGAAGGAAACAGATATAAAAGAGACTTTTATATTTGTTCCAAAGAAGAAACGCGAAGAAAATTTTTACTTCGCGAAGAAAGAGGATCAAATGAAAACTTTTTCACTAAAAAAAAAAAAAAGAAAAACTGAAATTAAAGAATTTAAAAAACGTTTATTTAGAAAGAAATTATTTATTTTGGAAAAGAAGCGCGAAAGAAATCTTTTTGTACTAAATAAATATATATATAAGAACTCTTAAAGAAATTTCAGAATTTATCTTTTTACTCCAAAATCAACGAAGAAACTAAAGAAAAAGAAAAAAAAAATATCTTTCATTTATATTAAAACGAAAAAGCCAAAAGGAATCATTTATTTCAAAAGAAAAACTGTAAAATCATGTATTTTCTTTATATTTAAACAATTATTTCTCTCCTCCGATTAAAAAAATTTACACTTATTGTAATACCACTCGTTCGTAATAAAAGTATAATAAATACAAGTATGTCGATGGAACGAACGATTTGATTTATACGCGTTTGAGACGGTCAACGATCGGTGATTTTGAGATATTTTTAATCGACGATCATCCCTCTGTCTTTCTCTCTCTTCTCGACTAAGAGGGTTTCAGTTAAGATAATAATAGGATGAAAGTTTAACGGTTTAAAGGAGAGGACTGTGTGTACCCAAATGATCGAACGACGCGCAATTTCTGTAACGAGGGACAAACTTGCAGATAAACTCGAGACCAAGTCTCTCGTGTAAACCGGTCCGTCTCGTTATCGGCTTCATCCTTTAAATTCGCCCGACAATTGGCGCCGAATACCGCCCGCTTTTTAGTATAATTAATCGCGTAGCTAAAACGGATCTTGCCACTTTTGTTTTAGTACTCCTGTTTCGAGCGTACTCCGACAAACGATTATGATCTCTAGTAGAACGTTTTTGTCGGATGTGGAGTGAGATATGTTTTATCGTTCGCCGTTTGAGAACGAAAAAGAAACGATTTGAACAAATTGTATGAAACGTTAAATCTGAATGGATGATTATTTATGGATATGTGATTAGATTATTTTAATTTTTAACACATTAATGATAATACATAATTGATATAACGTACGTATATGATTGTATATATATATGTATATATTCGTTTAATTCGTTTTGATATCGATTTAAAAATTCTGTGAAATCTAAAATTTACGATAGTATTTTTATATTCGAATAAAAATAGTAAAAAAATTACGAGAAAACATTTTTTTTTTTTTTAGATTATTGAAAATGCCTGAAAAATTATAGATATAAATGGTTAAATTCTAAAGTATTTAATTTCAATTTACATATTAATGATCCTTTTCTTCTAAAATATATAAAATTAAAATATGAAATTAAGGTTAAAATAAAATTAGATACAAAAATAAAATCATGTAATATTAAATTTTCTATATATGTATAATATAATAGATTTAAAAATCATTTAATTAGTCGATACTTGATCGACACGATATTTGATCTATTTATCTATTTTCAAGAATAACTCTCGAGAATTGTTTTACTTCGAATGTATTAATCTTAATCTTTTTTTTTTCGCAATTCTATTATAAATTCCAATTAAATAATAACAAATTAAAATTTAATTCTTAAAGAAATACACAATTTCGGTAAAAATCGAATTTTTACCGACTTTAATAAAAGAATTCCTGATTGAACGTTTTATCTGGACAGGAGGAATCAACGAATTAATTAATCGACGACGATACACAGTGTCGATCGGAAGATCGATTAAGATCAACGTCCCCTCGAGTGGGTTCGTTAATCTCAGGAGGTCGACCAATCCGGTGGCTCAGTCTCGGCCGTTAATTAATTTCCGGCTTAACGAACTCCCCCGCGTATGATTCGTGGCTTGTCGCCTCGTATAAGTACGAAAATCGTTTTCCTCCGATGTTCACGCGATCCACCACCCGATATCGAGGAAATGCGAAACTGTGTAATTAACTTCTTCAGAGTTTTTCACTTTTTTCGCCTTGAATTTCCTCCGTATTAAGACATTTGACGCGAACGAGTATCGGATTCGAAAGAAATAGGATTAAGTGTTAAGTGTGCGATATTATTATTCGATTATTTATGACGTTATATGCTTTTTCAGAAAAAGAATAATAATTTGGTGAAAGAATATTTGGCAAATTGTTATTGAGAGAAGGGAGAAGTATACTTTTAATGGAATGATAATTTAACTAGGTTTACGGGACGCATTACAGAAACAGTTTTATATTTTTATGCTCACTTTTATCCAATTAATAATAGAGACAAATATATATATATATACGAATTCATTTCATTTAAGCGTTCTAATCTCGAAAATCTGCATGATATGTCTACCTCTATGGATATAATTGACGCTTATTCGTAAAGATATAAGAGAAATGTTCTTAAATATTATTGTTTAAGGGAGGAAGATTGGATTGAATATATTTAAGTATTTCTTACCATCTATCTCGTAATAACATAATTTTTGATAAATCGTATTCTTTTTCGTATCTAAAAAATAAAGAAATGATTTTTCTACGATCAAGATGACAAATGTTGTGATAAAAATATCACATTACAGCAATAATTATCGAAAGTGGAATTAAAACTAAACTAAAACATAACTACGATACGATTTTTAAATTTCACAACGTCAGCTCACACTGATTAAAATAAACCCTTAGCCTCACACAGACTCACTATCATTTGAAATTTGTCCAGATTTCAATCTCTAAGATCCTACATTACCTAATGAGAACGTATGTAAAAAAAAAAAAAAAACAACTCCGTCTGCTTTTAAAAAATAAATAAATGAAAAAAAGAGAAATGGAATAACATAAAATCTTCGTTGCACAGATCCACAGATCCTAACTTAATTTCGTCCCATTCCCACAAGGGAGCTCGCAGATTTTTCGAGCAAATCGCAGCTCTCTACGTGTTTCCCTTCCTATTCCCTTCATGGAATTTTGAAAACACGTTCCTCCGCCTCGAGTCGACGACGACGACGACGACGACTACGTTCCAAACGTTAAAGGCCACTCGTGTTTCCTCTTTTCGGCATTAACCATTCTTTTTGCAAGCTGGTTAGCGTCTCGCTTCGTCCCGACGCGAAACATTAAACTTTGTCAAGGGAAAACTACCGTGTCCCGCGAATGTTTCCAGCATCTATTTTTTTCCCCCTTCTTTTTTCTCCCCTCCTCTTCCGTCTTCTTTCGTTTTTTTTTTTTCTTTTATTCGATTTTTTCTCGCTCAGAACGGTGACCACGATTTTCTTTTCTCTAACGTCGAGGAACCGCGATTATGCAAAACGCGAGGAGCGTGAAAAAATTGAACTTGGCGAGTTTAGTTTCGGGTTTATGTTGTACGTGTTCCCTTGATTTATGATGTTGTTTGCGACAAGGGAGGGGAGGAGGAGATTAATGTGTTTTCGGTTATAATTGTTGAGATGCGTTGAAAAATATAAAAATATTGGAATGTTTGCAATGAAAAAAATGAATAAGCTGGGATTCCTCTTATTTATAATCTCTCATTCTTTTAGATATACGTTTTTATTAAAATGTTAAAAGTGAGAGAATTCAGAATTTTTAAACGTATATAAAGAATTAGAATAAAAGTTAATTTTGTTTTTTCTCAAAGCTAATTTGTTTTTTCTTAAAGTATTATTTAATTTATTGTGGTGATGAAAAAATATGTGATATGATTGATTAAAAATTAAGATATTTGGGATGCGAAAAAAGAATTTAATATTTAAGATAATATTTTCAAAAGCACGATTAAAAATCGAATTATTTTCTCATTTATTTATATAAAGAATTTGCACTTTCTTAAAAAAAAGTTGCAAAAAATTGAACAAAGAATGAAAATTTTGTGTTATAAATCTATCTCGCTCATTACATTAATACAAACAATTGAATCAAAATAAAACTTTTATATGATACAAATTTAATCATTTTTTTAATGAATTATTTTTTTCAACCAGTATTGTTTTCCAGCATTGTTTTTCAACCAACAAAGCTTTTACGTGATAGAGAATTTCGTTATATTTTTAATACCAATTCTTTCTTGCAACCAAACCACAAAAAACCAAGCGAAAAAAAAAAAAAGAAAATTTCGATAGTAGTTTTACAAGCTTCTTTTTTCTTCTTCTTTTTTTATCTCTTTGAATTTATTCCTTTCTTCTTTCGAATTAAAAAATATCAAATGAAAAATTGAAGTTTTACAAATATACGAACAGAAATATGAATAGAAATTTTTCTCGCTCGTTTTGTATCCGAAATTTTTCGACGAAATTGCAAAAAATTAAACGATAAAAGAAGTCAGAAGAAAATAAATTTGGTTATACCATTATAAAAATAAAAATAATAAACTCACCGATCGTGGTAATCACAGTAAGGGAATAGAGAAACGCCCCGGCGAAGCTCCATCTTTTATTTTCTTCGGCGCCGTCGTAGCCATTTTTTATAGCCGTTACCATTTTCTTCTGATAATTCTCGAGGATCGCCTTCACTTTCGCTTTCCAGATTCTCTCGGAAAACACGTTCTCCTTTACGAACATGCGGTAGAAATACGATAAAAACTGTCTAACTTTTAAACTCGAAAAGTTTAAGAATAAATTATAGCAAGAGGATTAAAGTTTTAACATCGATCATGATAATTTATTATTAAAATTCTAAAATTCAGTAATCTAATTATTATGGTCTAATATTCAAACTTTAATTAATTCTTCTAATAATATAATCCTTAATTTAATCATTCTCAAGTGTCTAAGAATATTTCAAGAGATCTTTCTTCTCATCCCTAAAATTTATTAATTTTTAAATAGATACTTAATTCAAATAAAATCGAACGTAAAATTTTCTTTAAAATCTAAAAAAAAATAAGAAAAGTAATAAAATTCAAATTTTACGATCGTATTTTATTAAACATTATAAACACTTGTGGACACAAATTCTTTTTCGATCTTTCGAAAAAGCAATAAATTAACCATAAAATATAAAAAAAAAAGTGTTTTGAGAATCATTAAAAACCGTTGCGCGCGAACTATTACGTATAATCGTGAAACTTAAACCAATAATAGAGAAAGCATTATCGATAAAACAAAATGTGATAGAAAAAAGGAAAAAAAAAAAAAAAAGAAATAAATGGAATGGCTTGTCAATATCGGGAAACGAGAAACGGTCTTTTTACACGACAATAGTAAATAAAATATTAAATAAAAATGTTCACCTTAGAGGTAAGTTCCCAGAGAGTGGCAGCTGTCACGTTTCTCAGCCTGATCACGTCTCCAACTATGTCCAGGTTGTTTCTACCTTCGATATGGGTGAAGAGGAAGGCACCGGCTATGGTGTAACCGACCACCAAGCATACTATGCCAACATTGCTGAAGAGGAAAGCGATCAGAGCCCTGGTCCAGTCCACGATCCTCTCGCCCCAAGGTTTCCGCCTCCGTTTTCTTCGCTTTCCGCCGCGGACCCGATAACTTCCACGCTGCCAGTTTCTATTGGAAGTCGAATACCTTCCTACGTCGAATCCTCGATCCCCTTCCATCATTCATCCGGCACTCGATTGCTCAAGATATCGCTCGCCCTTTTTCTTTTCTTATTTCTTTTCTTCACGCTCTGTACACCATCTTATCCGTTTCTGACTTTATCGAACTGTTCGAGAGTGATCCTAACGTTGGCTTCGTTAGTCTTCATGATCGCGTATGTGATATATTAATTGTTGAAATTCGCAAGAGATTTTTAGCGAATAAAATTCAATTTAGATCTTTTTTTTTTTCTTTTCGTATACTTTAGTTTCCTTTTTAGATTTAGTTTGGGTGTCGCGTATGGTAAAATATTAATGCATTATCTTTTTTTTTTCTCTTTTTAATATAAATATCCGTAATTTGAGTTTCTTAAACGCGTAATTTTAAATTTTAATCGATAATGTAATCAGAAACTTTATTAGAATTTAATCTATAGGTTTTTTTTTTCTTTCTCAAACTTTGCTTTTTACTTTTAATATTAATGTATTATATAATAATTTATACGTGTACATTCAGGGAAGAAATGTTGAAATTTGAAAATCTTTTTTTTTTATCTTTTGCATTATATATGTCTTCTCTATCCTTTGATTTGCAGTGATACGTACACATGAGAAGAGATTTAATTTAGGATTTAAGACAATTGCATTTTTACATTATGTCTATAATTTTAAAATTTTTTGACATTCCTTCTCATTCTTCATACTTCTATAAAATTGTAATTAAAAATTTTTTAAAATTATAATAATTATAAATATAAAATTAAAATAAAAATAAATTAAAAATATAATCTTACAATTTTACAATAATATTATTCGTATCGTGTATCGATTAATTAAAATTTCCAGCATATTTTCGTAACTAATTTTAAACTCTCATCTTAGAAAATAAAAAAAGGAAAATCTTTTTTCGCTTCAAAATTTTTCTTAAAATATTTCTCGAAGATCGTGAATCATAATAGGATCTGACGAACAGGGTTGAAGAGGGTCGATAAGGTCGTCCATTCAGAAATTACTAAGAGGTCGGTTTGTCGAGTTAACGAACCGATAGCGAATTTAACAAAACGTGCGAGAAGAGGCGTAATTTTGTAGTTCCTTGTGTAATGGCGTCGATCATTTATCGCGGTTGGACGACAGAAAGATGTAACACGTATGAAATTCAGCTGAATGTATTTCGGTAACTATCGTAAAATAAAAAAAGAAGTCTAGGTATATACGTGTCGATTATGAACTCACGTTTATCCCTTTTCATTCGTTTGTAACGTGAACGTGGCTCTATGTTATGACGTTCTTTCGAGTTCTAGCAAGTTATACGATATTATCTTTGTAAAACGAGATTTAACAAGATTTTTTCTTTTCTTTGCATTGATATAATTTATATAATAGTATATTCTTAAGCTTGTTTCGAAGATTGTTATGAAAGAGAATTGTTTTGACATAAAATTCTAATCTATTTATGAATAATAAAAAGTAATGTAAAATTAATTGTTTATTTCACAATATAAAATAAACAATAGAAAAACATAAGAGAAGAACCTTATATTCTTATATCATTTATTCGCTTTCAATACGCAATATTAAACACTCGATATCTTTCTTTCATAAAAGTTTCATTTAAGAACCAATTTCTCGTTAATTCATTTATTATTATTTCAAATCATTATCTCTCCAAAAATACGTAGCTATATGCATATACGTATATATGACATATGTAAATAAGCGTGTATAATTACGCATTTCAAAAGAAACGGCCCTCCTCATCAACCGACCCTTTGGAGAACGAATTCCTTCCGGTTCGTTTTCCACGATCGATTCCCTCTCCACTTTTTTTTCCGGATAGAAACTTCTTCCGATCTCTACGATCTGTTCCAAATAAATTAATAGAAGGAACACGGTAGAATGCTAAAAAAGGGGATCGCGGATTATACGCGATCGGTGACCCGTCGCAATAGCAAAATTACACGGTCCGCGTTTAATAGGAAACGTCGGTATCGCTCCCTTCTCTGCTCTCTCTCATGGATTATATCGTTCGAATCGCTCGAGTCTCTGCTATCGACTTCGTCCACGATCCGCCAAGAATGGAAAACTGCTTTAACGAAATCTATTCGACCGTTCACCATGAACAATTCTTCGAAGTTATAATATTTCGTTTTCTTCTTTACGATATATCTGTTTCCTCGATATCGAAATCAAAATTATCGATCGAAATTATTTTTCCTTATAATTTTTATTTTTCGAGATCAAAATTTTGTTCAATCACCATGAAAGTTCTATCGATCCAAAGTCCTTTTCATTTTGTTTTCGAAGTGTAAGTGGATGGCGTTTCTATAAAAAGAATCTAGAATCGAGGTTATTGATCAATGTTCCTTTATTTTATCTTTTCAAGATCAAAATTTTGTTCAATCGCGACTGAAGTTATTAATTGAAATCATTTCTATTTTGTTTTGCGTTTTCGAAGTGGAAACGTTACGTTATTTTCTTTTATTTTGTCTTTTCCAAGTCAAAATTTATTTACTTTGCCGACTTTTTCGATTGAAGTTGTTAATCGAATTTCTGAATTTTATTTGTTTCTGTCTTCTTCGACCTGAAAATTTTCATTATCTCGAAGTTATTCTTTTTATTTTATTTTATTTTTCGCTATTTTCTATTCTATTTTCTTCTTTCCTGCGAATTTTTAACAATATTAAAAATCACTCTTTAAAATTTTATTCAGCTTTTTTACGATCAAAATTATTAATGTCTAACATTTCTCTTTTCATTTATTTTACTTTACTTGTTTCTATTACTTTCTTATTTTTTATTTTCCCTACTTTTTCTCGGATTTTCGAGAATCCTGGAAATAACTCATTTCTTCTCGCAATACTTTAAATATAGACCAGTCTATGCTTTTGAGTCAGACGATCTGACGAGACAGCTGGCCACGTGTTGACACGTGCTCCATGATCCATTCTTCTTGAACTTTCACGTTTCTTCTTATAAATTATTTCCCCTTTAAAAGATATTTGAATTTATTTTGAATATTTGTTCACATATTAATTTGTTTACTTGTTTTACAATCGTCAGAAATTTTTAAAAATTATGATTATATAATTATTCTTTATTCTTTTTAAATTTTTTTATATTTATTTGAAATTGATTTTTAAATAGTTATCGAAAAATATTTTTTACATAATAATAAAATTGAATATAAACAAATAATTGTACGATTGATTGCATGATTCAATTTTTCGATAGCCATTAAGAATATAACAATATTTGAACGATATTAACAAACACTAATTTCTTGATTTTATTTTATAAACAATCCCAATTCAAATATTTCCACAAAAGCTACAAGAATCTTCAATGAATACGTTTCTTCTTTCAAAATTCGTTCAAAATAAACACTTAACTCCATTCACTAATTATATAACTCATTAATCATATATCCATCATGTGCACAAAACTAGTAAACCCCAATTTATCTCATCATTTTACAAATTAAACTTCAATCGATTACATTTAATTAATGATAAAAAAAGTTAAACAACAATTTTCCATTGATTCAATTTTCATTCTCAATTTTTATTCATTTATTCAAAAGATAAACAGGGATTTTTAAAGGCACTCGTTGACATTGGGTTTCATGCAAGTTTGAATGATCGTTTTTCCACGGATAATTGTGTGAAAACGAGCCAATCTTGCCCGAGGCTTTCTCGCAAACTGATTCTGTGCCATTTGGTTCGAGACGTTGAACTGAAAATAGCGCGTTGCCAAAAATAACCGGATCCAACCGCTGGCTATGACTGAATTTTGACTTCCTGAACACCCTGTAGACGCGAATGTCCTCCGGAATCTCCACGACGCATTCGAAATTTATCAATTTGGCGCCACTTTTTTGCGTACTTATGTCTTGTAAGTATTACATCATCATTTTATTATATTGGAATATTTGCTGAAAGTACTGCTCTTTTTGGTCAATCCTTGTGTTTATATCTAAAATTTTTGACATTATTGAATTTTTCGCTTCATTTTCCAATAATATATATATTGTTTTGTGAACATTAGAACATCTAGGAACTCTACTTTTATTATTATCCTCTCTTATGTCCACACTCAAAATTTTTGATATTAATTTTTTCTTTTCTACAATTCTACATTTTACAAATATTGAAATTTTCTTTATAGTTAATCTTTACGTTTATATTTAAAATTTTTAATTCATTCAATTTTTAATTTTAGTGATTTTCTGGAAATTGAAATTCATTTTTTAGAATATTAACATAAGATTTAAATGTTCTATTTTAAAGTATATGAATAAAGTTTTAAGATGAATTTTGAACTTTTATGATATAGAATAAATAAAGAGATGATATATTTTCTTCTGGTTCCATCTTCATTTAAAAAATACAATTAAAAATTAAAAGAACATTCTCGCAATTCTTTTCCAAAATTTTCAAGAAATATTAATCGCAAAAAAAAACTTCTTCACTTTTTTTATAAAAAAATTTTTCAAATCAATTTACTGGATAGATTATCCAAATCTTATTCTCTATTTCCAATTTTCAATTCAAAAAGAATTAATTTCTAATAAGTTCTTCAATGCAATTTGATTGCAAATTGAAATTTAGCATAGAAAAATATAAGATTAATGTAAATATTTTAGATGAAAAAAATTTTATTCATCTATATTCGTGAAAATAAGAGAAAAGAAATAAGAAAAAAGAAAAAATAAAAGAAAAAAGAAAAGAGAAGGATTAGCGAAAAAAAAAAGGAAACAGAATTGGATCGGTGAATGAAAAGAAATTCGGTCAGAGTTGGTTACACGACGGAAATTCCGCGAACGTTTCTAGCCATCGAGTGAGATCGAGGGGCATCGAGAATGTAACCCTCGAGTTCGTTGTCGACCTCATCGTTGTATTCGACGTCGTACGCGTCGTAGTCGTCGGCATCTTCCTCGTCGTCACTCTCTTTGATGATCCCGAGCCTCTTTGCGACGTTCTTCACGTTGTTGATGACCTCCTCTTGCACCAGATTAAAGCTCATCGCCAGCAAAGCAATTCCAAATAATAAGTACAACGAGCAAACTGCAATTCCTTTATGGGCGTCCAGTTTGTATGCTGGTACAAAGTCGCCGAATCCTGAAATCCAATTATTTTTATCCAATTTTTCTTTCAATGTTATCTTTCTTCTTTTTTTTTCTGTTTTTTTTGGATTGATCGAATAATAATTTCAATAATTTATTTATATTTATTTGTGTAATATTAAATTCTTGATAATTTTTTAATTCAATGGAATATATAGGTGATTTTAAAATATTGATTAATAATGTAAAAAAATTTTTTTCTTCAGAAAAAGAAATAATGAACTATCTATAACAAAAATTATATTTTTACCATATAATTATTTTTCTTATTTATTTGCAATTTTATATAATTTTCATTTTATTTTTGAAATTTTTATAAAAATTATATAGAAATTTTATAGAAATTATATAGAAAATATTTTTAAATTTTTTATAAAAATTCATCTTAATATACAGATACATTATAAATTATTAATTTCTATTCAATGCACAAACAATAATAAGTAGATGAATGAACTTTTTGAGAAAATAAACCTTCTGTTTCGTAGAATGATGATTTAAAGAATTATATGGAAGTTATTAATTAGCTATTTCCAACGAAAAGTTCAATTAAAATTTTGGGAAAAAAAATTATATCTTTGAATGCAAATTTTTTTTAAAAATTATCATTTTTTATGACTTCTAGATTAATATCACAACAAAGTGATATTAAATTAAATAATAATATTATGTATAAAAAAATAAATAATATAAAAATGGTACTTACTGCAAAAATAAATAGAGATAATGGAACTTCAAAATTTATTAAATTTCATAACATTTTCTAAGATTTCCAAATTAATATTACTAAAAAAAGAAAAAGAATAAAGTCCAATATAAACATTAAACGCTATAAAATTAAATATTGCAAAAATGCCGAATATGAATAATTTAAGAAAAAAAAAAAAAAAAAAAAAAAGAAAAAGGTAGTACTAACCTATAGTGGTAAGTGTAATAAAGCAAAAATATGCAGAATCGAGGAATGGCCAATGTTCCCAAGCGCTAAACAAGAAGGCGCCACCAAAAATGTAACTAACCACCAGGAAAACGCATAACCATATTGGTACTGGTTTTATTTGCTGTCTTTCCTGATCATCGTTAGTATAATATTCGTAATCCGAATCAAAATCGTCTACGTATACTTGTCTATGTACAGGAAATCCAGCTGAGGACATTATATCGGATGGCAATGTGTCCCTTCTGTACGATCGAGCTTTTGTGATGAAAAAACAAAAAAAGAAACGATAAAAAATAATTATAATAATTTATAATTAATTAATTATAAATAAGTGCGAATGTTAAGAAAAAAGTGAAGTTGGAAAAATTAATATATGAATGAAAAATAGAATTTGTAATGATTAATAATAGTTTATAAATATTGTTTGTAAAAAAAGTTTAAAAATCTTAATATTTGAACATTATTGAAGAGATTTTAATAAATCTTTCTAAAGATTTTGAAGATTTTCTAAATATAATAATAAAAGAATTAATTTACCAATAGGGTAGTTGTTTCTATAACGTCTGGTTTTTGGAACTTGAGTCTTTCTCGAGTTCTCTAAATCCAAATAAATAGATGATGGCCGTAAAGAGGATGGCAGACTCATTCTGTAGTTGCTAGTCGCACCATCCATCGATAAACATCTTCTGGGCAACGACCTCGTCACTAATGGCTCTTGTTTCTCACTATTTTCACGAGTTTCTGTCGCCTCTGGCTCCTCTTTTGATTTGCTCGTATCGCCTATTGCGAATGATATTTATTAATCAGAGGAATAAAGCAAAATAGATCCGTTCAGTTTTTCCATATAATAAGATTTACATTTTTGAAAATAGATTTATGATTGTTAATCTATATGCAAAATATTTGTCCATAATTTTTATTGTAAATATTAAAGATATTAATGGATAAACTGATTATTGTAAATAAAATCGGAAATATAGATAAATCGAGAACGTGATAAAATTACTAAAAATTAAAGATGTAAAAAATAATATAAATAAAACATAAACAAATATATCGAAAATACAAATAAATAAATTAAAAATGTAAATGTAAATAAATTCGAAATATAAATAAATAAATGCATCAAAAGTAAAAATATTAATAATTAATATAAATAAATTTATAAGAAAATATTGATTATCTCGATTGTTGTATAGTTACTTGTGTTTCCGGCGGAAGTTGGCCACCGTCGCAATTCGTTCTCCAAATTATCCAAGGCGTACTTATTACACAAAACCGAGGAACGATCAATGTCATGTGATGAACGCATCAACAACTTCCTGTCTAATGATTGCGTTGTCATCTTGGAACTGGCTGAATGCAATTGCTATTTAGAAGCATGTTGTTTTTTCATCAACAAAATATATATATATATATATATCATGAAACGTATTCAAATACCTTTGTTCGATTTCGCTATTGGAAAATCAGAGTATCTGGACACTGTTGCCGATTTAAATCCAAAATTTGGATTTCCAGATAATTGATAAGAAGAACTCGTTCTTCTCTCTTCTCCAGCCTCGTATCGACGAGGATTATATCTATAGACATAATAATATTATGTTAAAATATTTAAATATTTAAAAATATGTTAAAATATGTTAAAATATTTAAATATGTTAAATATTTATTTTTGATGATTAATTATAATTAATAATATTAATATAATATAATACTTATAATATCATACTTATAATCCATGTCAAAATACGATGATCTTCCTAGACTTTCAGACAAAACCGAATCTACTGACATCTGGCTTACCCTGATGGGTCTTCGAAAACTACCTTTGCTTCCACCATATCGTCTTTTCGAAATATATAATTTTTATCCATTATAAACATATATTTTATTTATTGTTTTATTTTCGATAGTTTAAATAAATAAATACCCTGGTTGTCGCATGGAATACGATCTAACAAAATGGCTTCTCGGTCGTCTTTTTTTTGGTGGTTTGGTGCATATGTAGCAACAAATCCTCCAGTATAAAAATCTAAAAAAAAAAAAAAAAGATAATTTTTAATTCATTTCAATAATTTGGAAAACTCACTAATTTGGAAAGTCATAAAATTTTTCTAAAAGTACTAGAAATAAATATATAACAAGAAACGAAAATAATTTCCTAATTGAACAAGTTAATAAATAATTTTAATCCCTTTTATTTTTAAAATAATAATAAATTAATTACTTAACTTAATTAATTAATTAATTAAGTTAGATAATAATATTAAAATATAAGAATCAGATGTGTTATCGTGCATTTTGAAGTTTACCTGAAACTCGAGGCCATAATATCGCCTATATTCGAGAGGCAGAGTAGCATGAGAGGAATTCCGACGATGGCATAGAATATGGTTACCACTTTCCCGTTCTTAGTCTTCGGTGCAATGTGACCGTACCCTAGAATCAAGAAATGCTCGATTAGCCTTGCATAATCTCTCGTTCACGTAATGCGCAATTAATTCTCTTAGGGTCTAAGTTATGATACTAATTTTCTCTCAAACTGAGATTGTATTTCTTGCTGATATCAATAATTTTATTATTTTACCATCATTACCCTTAGTAAACACATACATCAATAGTAAGTCTTTAGGGAATTTTTATTTCAATTTAAAATTTAGAAAATTTGCAAATTTTTCAATATAAGAAAAGAATTTGAAGAAATTGATAATTAAAAAATTATAAAAATTTATAAAAAGTGTTGAAATTTTTTTTGATAATTTTTATTAACAATAATTTTTAGATTACGAATAATTAATTTGTTTTGAGATCTGGAAATTATCAAATTTGTGAAATAAAAAATTTATTCAATAAAAATTTATTGAATCTTATAATTTTAATTTGAACTTTTGTATGTTTTTAATGAAAATAATCTTTAGTTTTTTAATAAAAAAATCATAAGTAAAAGAAATCTTTTATATAATTTAATAATAATTAATAATAATTTCATTAATTCCCATAATTCCAAATAATCTCTAAAATATATCAATTATGCTAATATACTACAATGTCTGTAATTTATTTTTAGTTTCATTACAGAAAACGAAGGTACGAAAGTGATTAACATCACTATTCAAATTTCTCAAGAAGAGAGATTCTCATGTTCTCAACCTTGTACGAATATTTTCAAGGTCAATACTGGAATACTTGGAAGAATGATCGAATCAAACTCCGACGATTTCACAACAAGAAGCCTTTTTCTTATTCTCGTGGATTCATTCTATAGTCTGGGTCAAGATCATTTTTTCTTCTACTATTTATTCTACAATTATTATATCAGTTTTTAATCATGTAACGTTTCTTATAAATTATAATTTATAATAAATACAATAGTATACTTAAAAATCAGAATATTTAACTTTCTTTTTTTTTCTCTACTTTTCTTCTTTTCTTTCTCTTTCTTTTTTAATTGCTCTAATTAACGCTTGAAAAAAGAGAATGAGATCAGGAACATGGAGAAGATTGAGCGCATCCGCCGGAAGGGAACGAGGATCGATCGATCGAATACAAAAGAATAGCGGATGTTCCAGCTAGATTTTGGAACGCAACTCGGTCACGCGTTATGAGCCTTTGTTGATCGATTTTTCGTGGTACATATAACCAGATTCCTCGAGCGCACATCAGAATTTCATGATAATTATCCATTACTATGCTCTCCTATACTGTGTTTTAAAATACAGATGTGAAAAGAAAATATTTAAATTTTTTCATTGTTGTGAATAGAAATAAATATATTAAAGCAAACAAAATTCAATGGATTAATTAGTTATTTTGATGAAAATTTTATAAATTTTTTTCTTTAACAGAATTATCTTTGGAAAAAGTAAAGATAAATTTACGTGATAAAGTTGTATTCTCATTTTTCCAAATTTTATCTCTTTTTTTTTTTATAAAAAATTATATATATATATATATATCTATATATATATATATATATATATACATCAAATATTCTTCTGAGTGAATTGATGATTCCCAAAATAAAAAATAAATTCAAAAAAACAATGTAAAAATTACTTCTCTTTGGAAGTAAGTAATTTTTTCCTGTTATTTCGTTTTATTTTTCATAACGCTGTTACAAAGAATTTTCCCAACGAGTCTAACAAATTTAATGGTCCTTTTTTGCCGTAGAACCGTGAAACGGTTAATCGACGAGATCGTTGGATGGCAAACGCGGTGCAAAAATCAAGGAAAACGAATTACGAGGCGTTGCCGGTTTCCTGTCCCGGAGGAAAAGTGAATTTCCTCGGTAGCCGGCGCGGCATCCTCGGTGAAAATGACCTTGATCATTGGATTTTCGTTCAATCGTGCCTTTCCTCAAAACAAGGTTACAGTAAACCACGAGGATGATGCTGTAAGTGGTCGGCCATTTTTCTTTCCTCTATAAAGATTTAACTTTTAACTTCTTTGATTCCATAATAACGATATTAAATGAGATAAGATCCTGTAAAATGGTTTGTGTCTTGGAAAAATGCTTGAACTTGTAATAACTTAATGATGGACTCGAACTAATAACATTTTGTTAAGAAAATAAATTTTGAAATAGTTCAATTTCTGGAAATATCTTATACTCTTATTAAAATATATAAAGTAAAATAATAATTCTAAATATTTTGAATACTTTCTGTTATTTTTAAAAATATGAGATGACATAATAAATTCTGTTATCAAAATACTAAATGATTCATATGATTTGTAATTCTAAATTTTAATTTGTAAATTATATTATATAATTATATAATATATAATATATATTGTAAATTTTTATTTTTTAATTTAATAATTATTAAAATCAAAGAAACTACTATATTAATTCTTTATCACATTATCATCATAATTATTTTTTGAATGAAAATTACTATACTTATTACAATTTATGATTCAATCATAATAGCATAGCATATATTTAATAATATACTTTGTTTATCAAAATTGCTTTGAATCAACATTTCATATCTTTTGATCACATGCAAAAGCCACTAACCATTCACGAGATACTATGACGAGATATTATTTTTATTAACAATAAATAAAATTACCATAATCATTTAATTCGAATAAAAGACAATATAGACGTCCTTCGAGGAACAATTGATATAGTCGCATGAAGGAATCGTGTATTACGCCATTTCGTTAGATCTTGTCCGAAGAAAGAGGTCGTAATCACCTGTAACGTAACTACTTTCCCCTACTCGACCCGATGGATTTTCCCAGATCGAAGGACAGGTACGAGAACATTGCTTTCCATGTAATATACCCACGTGTCTGGTTCACATTATCCAATCCATTACATTCATGCACCTCGTGAGGATTTAAGTCTGAATTTTAAGAATGATAATTGAAATCAATGTTATCTTTTCTGCGAATATAAATGGAAATGATTTCTTTATAAATCATAATACAATATATATGTATATTGTATATTAATTATGTTAGAAATATATTTCTAAATTAATTATTATTATTGTTTTGAATCGATTTTAATGGATATAGTTGATATTTCTAACTGTAAAAATAATTGAAAATTAAATAAATTGATATTCATAAAATAACATGAATAAATAATCATTTCACAATATTCAAATTCACAAAGAATAAATATATTCAAATTTTAAAATATCAATCAAATTATTATAGAATTTGAATTATAATTATTATTTTTCTTTCGAATTTCATTTATCATTTAATTTTAATTTTTGAATTTTTCCAATTTCTTTCTTCCTTCCAAAATTTAGTATTTGCTATATTATATAATTTTAAATAAATATTCTTCGAGATTCAATTTTCAACTTCTCTAATTATTCCATTTTTTGAAACATATAAAATATTTCTACAGTATTCAAATTTCTTAATCTTCATATTTTCCTCAATTTTCCACAATTTTTTCCAAATTTCAACTTTTTTTACAGTATTCAAAATCCGAAATGAATCGTCTCGTTATAAATTTATCCAATTTTTACATTACCTTGAATGAATTTCCAACTCCCTGTACGATCCTAAACGAAAACACCTGTGATTAAAACGAGCCGCACAAGGGATGAATCACCCTTGAACGAAAACTGTTGATCCGAGATCGCTATCGAAGGAACCTCGAAGTGAGCCACGCGGTGCGTTCACCTTCCAACGGTGCATATATAAAGACGAGATTCACTTTCACTCTCGTTTTAGTCGACTGTCGACAATATTCGCCGGTGAAGCTGACTATCTTGTCTTTTTTTACGAAATCGCGTTTCCCGTAAAACGATGGCCATTCTGTTCCTCTTTTGTTGCATCACAATGGTCGTAATAGCTGTCGAAGACGATGGATGGGTGTGGAAAAACGGAGAGAGCAGACTCGGGAAGACGAGGTTTGTTCAATCTTCATAGTTTTTTCTGAAGATACATAAGTGTATACTTGACAATATTTTCTGACAATTGTCCTTGAGAATACTTTTAAATTGTGCATTCACTTAAGAACAATTTTTGAAATTTTTATTCTAAGATAAATAATAAAAAAAGAAAACTCGCCAAAGAGTTTATTATCCGATAGAATTTTCAGAACCATGTCCAGTGGAAATAGGTATCTAATCTCTGTTCCTTTCCTTGTACTGTCATATTTTGTCATTCTTTTGTCTTTTCGCAGCTTATAAACTCTTGCCATAGCTATTCTCTAACTAAGACTAAAAAATTATAATAACAATTCAGATAAAAATTTACAATATATTAATTTTATAGTTAAAATATAGAGAAATTTGGAGATAATATTTAATGTATGTATGAATATATGTGTTTGGTATGTATATAGTTTGAAGATTTGAATATGAAAAAAAAATAAAAAATAAAAATGATTGAAAGAGAATTCTTATACAAACACTATCCTACGCTTTCCATTTAACGATGTTTTAAATAATCTTAAGATACTTTAAGATCGATTGAAAAAAAAATTGGGAAAAAAAAAGTAAAATTGAAATATAAACTATTTGTTCAATTATAGATACCAGGTGAATGAGAATATCGAACATTTCGGTAACGAGAGACCATTAATAGGATTTAAACCACAAAACGTGGGACCTTATGGTCCTAACAGTAGACCTATTGTACCGGCATCGTATCCTGGCAACAAAGAAGTTCTTGTCGGTCCTGGTGGCCCGACTGGCATTATAAAAAGGTATTTCGTATCTTCGCGCTGTTTTCCAACCCAATAAGTTTTCGTTACTCGTATCCTCGATGTTGATTGGCTTTGTACGACCCAATGACCTGGTACACCATTGCATTTTATGAAAAGAGGCCAAAACATCGAAGTTCCATGGTCTAAGGTTTGGATTGGATTTAGGTTGGACTTGGATCACGTTTGAATTAAAATTATTCTCTTATAAGTATTGGATATTGAAGAACATTCAATTGAATTTAATTTTTTATAATTGATGATCGATATTATTAATTTTAGCATATTTTTATATGTATATATATTAAATATAAATTAAATTTATATTTTTGATATGATCGAAAAAATCTATGATACAATTATTTGTATAATTAGATTAAAATATAGAATTTATTTTTGAAAATTTTTTTTATCTTGGATTAAATTTAGAAGATCAAAATTAAATTCTACTAAGTCACAAGACAGTTAGAAGTTAAAAAAAATAACTATTGAATAAAATATCTTAATCTATTCAGACCTTCCTACACCGGAAATATCGACGATGGCGCATTGGAAACTGGTTTTGTACCATCTTGGGTCAAGGACGATCCTCGATATCGAGAATATGACACTTGCAGATGCAGATATAGCTTCAACTGTCCCTCCGTAGGATTGAAATTTGTACGTAACAAAATAGAAAATAGTTGCTATTCTTTTTATTTATATAAATAATTAATTAATATAAATAATTTTTAATGATTTCTATAGGGTACCTGTGCAAAAGATAAGAAATATTGCTGTTTTAATAGCAAGAAGTATCCTACCTTGGTTTCCGGACAATATGGTCAAGGATATTATCCTTATCCGGTATATTAATAATTGTTAATAATTTATCATAATTTTCATCAAAGATTATTAATTTCATTTATCGTAAGACGCATTCTGCAAAAAAAATTTTAAACTTGATTATTTTTTGAATTTCTAAATGAAAATTAAACAAAATTTAAATCTTAAAACCATCAAGGAAATTTTATTTGAATTTTAAATCGAAAAAAAATAAAAATTAAAAAAAAAATAAAAATAAAATAATTTGAATGATTGAATTTTAAAAAAAGAAATAATAATACATATGTATATATATATTATTACATATGGAATTAAAAGAAATCAAAAGAAATTAAAAAAAATCTGCCATTAATTATTTTCAATAATCTTCAATGTAAAAATAATTAATTTTTTATGAAAACAAAAAATATTTTACAATTATCATAAACTTTTAAAAATGAAATTACGTTTTTATACTTCATTTGTCACTGTTTGACAAAATTTTCAGAGCGCTCCTAACAAATACGGTCCAGCAACCTTTGTACAATCGCCAAACTATTATGGTAATCGAAGACCGCCAGAGAGTTTCACCGGTGCTAACAGATATCCTGGAAATTATCATTTCCCTGGAGGGAATCTGAATCTCTATCCACGACCCCAAGGCAATCCTTATGAGCAGAATTACGACTACAACGATTTCCAGTTTTATAGTCGATCCTTAAAGAAAAATCAGACCCAGAACGAGAGTGAGGATGAAAAAGTTTAAGCTCCATTTACATACATGAATACTATTTTCTCTTTTTCTTCTGATCAATCTTTTAATAGGTTTTCACATATATGTCGTCTTATAAATTCTTATTGCGATCGATCTGAATAAAGGATTAGATTAAAAAGTTTATGAGTTTGAGGAAAAAATTCGGCGAGTAAGATGTTGTCAATGTAAAAGAAAAACATTTAAATAAAAAAAATCTCTGTTCAGGATTATATTATAAATATATGATATGTGTATTATATCAAATATATTTATAATATATATTTATAATATTCAAATTAATAAGTTTTAAGAACATTTTTATATAAACATTGATAATGTATTCTGTGATTAAAAATCAAAGAAGATTATGAAAATATTTTGCAAAAAGACATAAAGTAAATGAAGGTTTATAGGTAATTTACCATTATAGGTAAATAGAATAAAAAATAGAGTAAGATAATAAAATAGAATAGAAAAATAAAAGAATAAAATAATAAAATAAAATAAGAGATTAAACGAATAAAAATCTTTAATATAATAACAGATTCCTAAATACGATTCTTTCTTTCCAATATGAATTGAAATGATTGAATAAATTTTATTTACTTCTTATTTTATTATTATATTTTATTTGTATATATACTATTTTTCCAAATACATACATCAATTGATTTGATCAATTGATTAATTATTCATTATCAGATATTAAATCAAAATAATAGTAATATTGTATTATGGACTTTTAGAATTTAGGACGCCAACGAAATTCCTCTTATTTTTAGCCACAAAACTTAGTATTGAATTGTTTATCATGATTCTATCTAAAAATTATTCAATTTCTAAGAAAACGATCTAAACATTCAATATTTTTAATAAAATACCAAAGAACGTACATATATTTTTAAATCATAAAAAAATTTTCTTTTCATTAACTTAAATTATCAATTGTAATTATAAATATTACTACGTAATAAACTTTATAATGAAGATCTTAAGAATATGTATTTATTAATGTATGATTGATATATCATTATTATTAAAACAAATTTCTTATATATTTTCCAACATTTTTGTTTTCTTTTATCAATCAAGATTATTTATAATTTCAAAGTGTTACTAGCTATCCAAGATTATTTTATTATTAATTTTATTATTAATTTTCAAAACTTACCAATGGTAGTAATGACCACTATGGAATAAAATAAAGCACCAGCAAATGTCCATTGGATGTCATCTTCACCTTCACTCCCATCCCAACCTTCTTTCTCCATCATCCACACGAGGTTATTCTCGAAGCTCTGAAAAAAGAAAATGATCGTGGAATTGGAGAAAATTCGAGTTCGACTTCTGATCATCGGATGTGAATTTGATGGTTCGGTACCTTTAATTCGCGCAGTGCTCTGTCCGTCCAATTTTCACGAATCAGAACCTCCACTTCTTTCGTAATCTTCCATAGTTGTTCTGCAACGTTCTCTCTGACATCTTTAATGCTTTTCTTGATCTGGATAAGGAAAAAAGTGAGATGAAAAAAAAACGATAAAGAAGATTGTGAAGAATAAAAGACGATATAAAAAAAGAAAAGACGATCATTATTTAGGGTAAAGCAAATTATGCATTTATTTTTATTTCTTCATTTCTTACTTCTAATCAATAATAAAAGTAGAAAGCTTTGATAATTACATAAGATATTTAAACAATTTTATGTGTTGATTTTTATTAATATTATATTCATAATTTTTATTAAAATTAAAAGATTTAGGGAAAAAGAATAGAAAAAGAATAGAAAGAATATATAATAATAAAAAAAGAAAGAATATATAAAGAATATATAATATAATATATATAATATAAAAAAGAATTAAATATATAAGAAAAAGAACATAAAAAAAAGTACTAAAAAGACTTTTTAATCAATAATATTTTTAATGATACATTTAGAATTTTTGAATTTAAAAAATATCAAATATCATATTAATGCTACTTCTTCCCAAAAATTTTAATAAGAAATAAACATCAAAATCCAAAAATTAACATTATAAATTTGTGTTTAAAGAAAAAAAATTAATAATAATAAAAAATAACAATGAAATGAAAAAAATTCACAATTTCTACCTCTTTTTCGTGAGCGGCTTCAAGAGCTTCAAAAGCGTATGCGCCGATCAAGCAATATAGTACAACCAATGAGATCAACGATACGTGGGAAAAAACGCATCTGAAGAACTTCCACAGGAAACGTAGAAAACGTAGAAATCTGATACACTTGGATGGCTTCTCGGCTTCGACCATCAGTTCGAATGTTTCCGGTCGCGAGCGTGGTGGCATCGTGCTTTCCGCTTCGAAAATTTTTTTCCTCAAACACCCTCACCACGGCGATTCTTCATTGTCCTCTCGAATTTTTCTCTTTCACGATTGAATTCTAATCAATCACAATCTTCGTTTATTTTATTAATTATCGTTTTACATTTCAGCTGAAAGAAAGAAGTTACAATCTGTTTTATGATAATGAAAATAAACGATGCCACATTATGATTCTGCAGCAATGATACTATAGTACACTTATATATATACTTATTTGATATGTTTATATTTGTAAATTAATTAGAAAAATTATAGTAATGGTGAAATAAGTATTAATACTATATTAATGCTATTTCGCTATCTTCAATTTTAAATGGAAAATCTTATTATCTTACATAAATTTAAAAAAATTTTTAATCGTTTTACAATGATCTCTTTTTGAAAATATAATTAATTAAAAACATACTTATTAATATTAATAATATAATAAAAAAAATAAATGGCACAAAAAAAATAATTATTAATATCAATTTAAAATAAAATATAAAAATTTATTTATTTTTTTTGTATTAATATATTTGCTTTCTTTAGTTAGCAAGTTAGTTGCTTTCCTTGATAGCAAATAAATAGTTGATTAACATTTCCAATTTATTTGTTATATTTATGTAAACTAATAAAACGTTAATTTGAACATATAAAATAAAAATTAAAGTCTAATAATTAAAAATATCTTTATGTCTGCTTTAGATATTAAAAATTAATAAATTTTAGAAATAAAATTTTAGAAATAAAAAAACTAAATAAGAAGAATTAAAGTAAATTAAAATAATATAAGAAAATGCAAAATTATGTTTTATCTTATGTCAAAAGCCATTAATTTCAGAAAATGCCATTATATTATTTATTTTAATTTTATATTGAAAATATTGATTTTAGAAAATTTCATTTCAATGTTTATCATAGGAATACAAAAAGAGAAATAAAATAATATAAATAATCTTAATATTTTTAATTTTTAAAAAGTAAATTGATCACATATTTTTACTATTTCATTTTTTTACTATTTCCAATTCTTTATTTTTAATACCTGTTTAACGTAACAATAATAATAACACTTCGTTGATATTTTCATTGACATTTCAACAACAATTTTTTTCTTTTTTAATTAATTGCACGTGTTAAACGCCACGATATATCAAGTTCTCTATCGCAACGTTGGAGAAGCGAAACTAACTACAGAAGTAACATAAAACACAGACGTGTTTTATCCGGGATGGTTGTTCCAAATTTATCCTACCTATGCTATCGTTGAAATGTCGTTTTGGGGCAAAGTGTTATGAATGGTTGGTTAATTCATTCTATTATAAGGCAAAATGATGAAAAAAATTCAAAATAGAAATTAACAAAATAATTTAATTCATTAAAATATTAAGCATTTATATTTTCTTGCTTATTTAATTAAATTGATTATTTATAATTTTAATTAATTAATATATATTACTAGAAATTATATAATTAAGAGAAATCATCTTAATTGTAAATTCTTTAATTATTTTCATTTTTTTTAAAAATTATTCTTATTGAATTAGAAAAAATTTAAATATATGATTTTATATTATTTCATCAAAAACTATAGACAAAAACAGCAAATTCTATGAGGATAGAAATAAGATAAGAATTGATTATTAGCGTCATCTCTTGAGTACTAAATATATTTTTTCAAAAATACTCCAGAGATGGTGCTGATTCATAATTCTTATCCTACTTTATCCTGCTTTATTATAAAATTTTTTGGCATTCAAGAGATGGGAGTAACAATCAATTCTTACCTTATTTGTTTGCCATGTCTTGAGTACCAAATATATTTTTTCAAAAATACTCCAGAGATGGTACTGATTCATAATTCTTATCCTACTTTATCCTGCTTTATTATAAAATCTTTTGTAAATTCAAGAGATGGGAGTAACAATCAATTCTTACCTTATTTGTTTGCCATTTCTTTTTATGCCTGTCTATGTATTCTACAAATTGATGCAACAGATTTCACAATTTCGGCGCGAATACTATTTTAGTGTCATTTCAGTCCATTCATTTTGAACTTTTATCACTTTCTAAAATGTTGAACTTTTTTAGTTTCCCACGTATTTGCAAAAAATTATAACTACTGTATTGAATTTCTATGTGCATCTATTTCAGCATTTAAGTCGAATAAAATTTTATCTATTAAAATATATTAATAAAAAATTTTATATATAAAAAAATGGAATATACATATATTTTTAAGATTATTATTTACACAGAAATATTAATATTGATGAATATTCATTATAAAAGTTTATTGTGAAAATATCACATAAAAATAATCAAATATAAAACAAAATGAATACATACAGTGGACAAGCAAAACTTCTCGTTGAAAAAATATGATGGCGTCCATATTGAAACTTTTCTTTTTTTTAAATCTGAACCAGTAATCAGATAATAATGTTTCTACAAGAGAAAATGAGAATTTCCAAATGAACACATAAAATATATAAAATAAATCGATCATGTTAAAATAAAACAATAATCAAACATAAATTTCATTTTAAAAAATCATAATATAAGTTGTATGGCTAGTATGTAACCATCAAATATATAAATAAAGAAACATAAATAATTTAGCTTTCGAAACATTATTAATTATAGAAATAAACCAATATATTGATCGAATAGTAATGCACAAATAATAAAATTAAATAATACAAGATGAAAGAAAATATATACATATTACGCAACAAAAAAATCACATATGTCAAGAAAGAATGGAACTTTCGATTATCAGAAATACCGATAGTACAATGACGCAGCATTATAATTTCGATTACCGAATCACAAATTAGAGGGGAGATTCTTGTTAAACGACAAATTAAAACATATCTAAACATGTCGAAACATATCTAAATATGTCGAAATATGTCGAGCATGAGAAAAATGCAAATTTTTTGAAAAGGCTATATTACGAAAAAATTTCAAAGTTTTGAGCATACTATTAGACGAAAAAAAAGAAAAATATATATAAAAATATTATATACAATGTATTTAAAAACGCAATACGTATAAATGATAAGTAAATCTATTACTATTAAAAAAAATTAAACATCGAAATTATCAGTTACAAATCATATATGCATAATATAAATAATTCTTCTTTCGAAATCTAATAATAAAACGACAATTTGTACGACAAATGAAAATCAAAACGGTAAAATAAAGATATAAAAATATCATATTAGGACAAAGCAACAAATGAATTCAAATCTGAACTCAACGAAGTATAAAATACCGGTAACCTCAACAAATATACGATCCACGAAAAAAGCACAAAAAAACTCAAAACAGTAATTAATTTCTTCATTACAATAATAAATGAACTATTAAATAATCGAAACTAATAATAATTTATAAATTTATTAACAGAATATGACTAAAATTACTTACTGCGTAGTAAAATCGTCGAAGCCGGTTACAATAACACATCCTCTCACGATGACTTTCCACAGGAAACTGATGGCACGCGCCAAAATTTTTATAGCAACTTTCTGATTGGTCGCATGTGTATTCGATAATCGAAATTACACAGAAACATAACGTATTGCAAAATATATTTTATTTATTCTAATAAGATATATATTAAAGACAAATTATTTATACATTATTTATTATAATTTATTATTTTTATAATTATTTATTTGATTTTTATATTTCTATTATTATATTCTACATTTTTTTATTAATTAGTTATTTCACTGATTTATTTATCGATTATCGATTTATTAATTATTTGTGAATTTGTTCACTTATCTAGTAATTTATTTGTAAATGTTTTTTATAAATTTTTCTGGTCCGTTCATGTATGATTAATCTATATATATATATATAAATTAATTTATTTATTTAATTACTTATTTATTTATTTAATGATATATATGTACATTAATTTATTTCTTTGTTTATTATTTTTATAGTTTAATTATTTTTATTCATTTAAAATAATTATTAAATCATGAAATGAATCTAAATTAATAAACAAATAAATGAATATATAATTAACAAATAAATAAATTGATATGAAAAATAAATAAAATAAAAAAAATAAAAAATCTATAAATAAATCACTAGACAAATAAATTATTTATTAAAAATAATTATGAATCATGAAATGAATCTAAATTAATAAACAAATGAATATAATTTAATAAATAAATAAATTGATATATACACAAATAATTAAATAAATATATATAAATATACATAAATATAAATAATATACATAAAAAATTAAATAAAAAAAAAAAATAAATAAAATCAATAAATAAATCACTAGACAAGTAATTTACTTATTTAAAATAATTATTAAATCATGAAATGGATCTAAATTAATAAACAAATAAATGAATATATAATTTAATAAATAAATAAAATTATAAAAAGAAAAATAAATTAAATAAAAAAAATAAATAAATAAAATCAATAAATAAATCACTAGACAAGTAATTTATTTATTTAAAATAATTATTAAATCATGGAATGGATTTAAATTAATAAACAAATGAACAAAAATACATAATTTAATAAATAAATAAAATTATATAAAGAAAAATAAATTAAATAAAAAAAATAAATAAAAAGTCAATAAATAAATAACTAGACAAATAAATTATTCATTAAAAATAATTATTAAATCATGAAATGGATCTAAATTAAAAAACAAATGTATATATAACTTAATAAATAAATAAATTGATATATACATAAATAAATTAAATAAAAAAAATAAATAAATAAAATTTTAAATAAATCACTAGACAATTAATTTATTTATTTAAAATAATTATTAAATCATGAAATGAATCTAAATTAATAAACAAATGAATAAATACATAATTTAATAAATAAATAAAATTATAAAAAAAAAAATAAATTAAATAAAAAAAATAAATAAAAAATCTATAAATAAATAACTAGACAAATAAATTATAAATTAAAAATAAT